GGTTGATTTTTCTTTGTTAAATGGCATTTAAATATATAAAATAAATATCAGAAAATATAAATCTTTGTTTTACTATGGTTACAAATATCAAAAAATTTATGTGACACGGCACCAGAGTTAAGTTAGGGTTTTTCAAAATGCTGACACACGGAGCTCAAAAGGTTCGCCATCACTGCTTTAGGAGAAAGATTTCCTCCACAGCCTGAGGGAATGACTCAGCATAGGAAATCAGGGTGGCTGCCCTCCGAGCTCCAAACCCAGAGTCCCCAATCCTGGCTTCTGCTCACACAGCTGCAGTCCACTCTGCCCTCCTTCACCAGAACCCAAGGTGAGTGGCTGCACACAAAATTTTCTGTGTTGGCCCTTTAACAGGGTTCCTGCATTTCTAGCCCTCTCTCACTGGCAAACAGCAACCCTGCTGCTTTTCACAGCCAGATGTTCTGTGGGCACTGTTTTGGGGAGCCCAGCTTGGGGTTTAGACCCCAGAGTTCCCAGTGGGAACCCCCCCACAACTGAGATATCCCTCCAGATCTTCATCTGCTGTCTGTGGGAGCCCATCCAGCCCTTTCACACCTCCACACTTCCTACCAGTCTCTATGAGGTCTCCACTTTCCATCCTTGGTTATCAGGTTCTCTCCAGCTAGTCTTCAGTTGATTTTTCAGAGTGGTTATTCTGTATTTTAGTTGTATTTCCAGTTTGGTCCTGGGAGAGTCAGTGTAGCTTCCACTTATACTGCTGCCAGTTTGGAACTTGTCATTTTTTTTATATATATATAGGTGTTTAAAGCTACAGATTTCTCTCTGTGTTTAGCTACATCCATAAATTTGGGTATGTTGTGTTTTCATTTTCATTTAATACAAAATATTTTTAAATTCCTTTGTGAATTCTTTGACCTATGGGTTATTTTGAGGTGTGTAGTCTAATTTTCAAATATTTGTGTTTTCCCAGATTTCTTCCAGTAGTGGATCTCTAAATGTGATTCATTTGTGGTTAGAAAAACACATTGTATGATTTCAGACTTTTTAACATTTTTGAGACATACTTGGGACCCTCACTTTAATATCAGCATGTAGCTTCCCTCACTTTCATTGTCTCCTCTTAAATGTTACCCTCTCAATGAGACCAACCCAGTCCAATATTAAAATTGCAACCACCAATACCACCATCTCTTAGCATTTTCTATCATCCCTTATACTGCTGTATTTTTTTCTTTTTCAAACCCCTCATAACCTCCCCCCATAGCCTTCTAATATAATTTACTTAACTCTCTGAAGGCAGAAATCTTTGTTTTATTTATGGATGTATCTCAAAAAGCTAGAATAATTCCTGGATCATAATAGTCACTGAATAAATACATATATTTTTGAGTGTATACATTAGGGTATTTCATCTACTTAATCATATGTAGCTAAAATTTGTTCACTTTTTTAAAATATATTTTTTTTATTGTTGATAGTATTACAGATATCTCCCATTTTCACCCCCTTCATGTTCACTTTCATTGGAATGTAGTATTTCATTATATAATCTTACTACAATTTAATAGTTGATTCTTCTTAAATCGACACGTATTTTTTGCTAGTTTCAGGCCATTATATATATACCAGTGATCTAACCATTGTTATTGTTGTACCCTGGTACCATATACCCAAATTTTTCTAGTGTAAATATGTAGGAGTAGAATTAATGGGTCATGTTATGAGCATATATTGCACATTAGTAAATAATGTCATAGTGGTTTGCAATATGGTTGCACATTCCTACCAGCAATGTCTGAGGGTTTCGTTTGCTTTACAATCTCACTGATATGTGATATTGACATTCTTTTTAATTTTTTGCCAATATGGCAGTTTTCTTTTAGTATTTTCTTCTTAATTAGCATTTCCCTGAATTCTGTTATGGTTGATTAATTTATTTTTATGTAGTTAAATTTGTCAATATTTTTCTTTAATGATTAGTGCTTTGGGGAACTTAAGAAGTCTTCCATACTGTTCTTATACCTTGCTGGTGTAAATGCAGAATAGCACAACTTCTACAATGTGGAATTTAGCAATATAGAGAAAACTTACATACACATTTGATCTTTTGTCTCAGCAAAGCCACCTCTTTTAATCTACTTCAACAGTGTACTGGAAAAATACAAAATTCTATATGCACAAGGTTGTTTTTCATGGCATTATTCATAACAGCAAATAAGACTAAGATATAATACCAGTGTGCATCAGTAGGGAATAGTTGAATAAACTATGGTACATCCACACAGTGGAGTATTATACAGCTATCAGAAGAAAGGGAAAGAGCTTTACATATTAATATGGAGTTACCTAAAGTATATATTATTAAGTGCAAAGAAGTAAGTTGTGCACTGGCCGGTGTGGCTCAACTTGTTGGAGTGCTGTCCTGTACACCAAAAATGGGTTCAATTTCCGGTCAGAGTACATACCCAGGTTGGGGGTTTGATCCCGTCAGGGCACATGCAGGAGGCAACCAATCCAAGTCTCTCTCTCTCTCTCTCAAATCAATTTTAGAAATTTTATAAATGTAAGTTGTCAATAGTGTATAGTAAGTTACTGTTTATGTAGGAAAGGGGTATAACTAGTGAATTATATATAGTGTGTGTCCCAAAAAAATATATACATACTTTAACAACCGATAGCTCAGTTTTGAAAATGAAATGTATTTTAATAAACACTGCCTTTATAATTATTCAAAATGTGTATATACATTTTGGGATACTATATATACATATATGCACACACACATATACATATATGTGTGTATATGCTTCTTGCTTATATTTTCAAAAAAGAATCAATGGAACCATAAAGCCAAAACCTAATAAAATTATTATTTATGGGGAAGGAAAGGAATGGGATGAAGGGGACAGAGATGGAAGTGAAACTTCCGTGAAGGTACTGTATAACACAGTTTTTACTCTAGACCTATTTAAATGTTTTTGCATAATTTAAAAATCAAAAAGGGAAACATCCATCCCTAAAATTCATGAACAACCTGAAGCAAATGAATCTAACCATAAAAAAAGTTGGTAGCATAAAAATACAGAGGAAACAATTACTTAAAATGACTTTAAAACAATATTTGTACATTCCTAATGGGATATATTATAAAGGTAACTGCAAAAAGATGTAAATCTCTATTTAGTAGTTTCATTGTTGATATTCATATTAGTATTGTTATTGACATTTAAAAATTCTATAAATATATTATAAGAAAAAGCAAATAATGTTGTTAATGTTAAAAAAAAATATTTTAAGCATATGTGAAAAGAGATATACAAGTCTAAAATCAAGAAGTTTGAGCAAAAACCTTATAATCTTACATTGGAAGTGGAAATACCAGTATAATTTCTTTTTCTCTTTAAAAAAATTTACTGGTTTTGTCCACTGAAAATGTCTAGAAGCAATAACAACTTAACAGCAATGAACACACCTAGCAACACATTATACTTTTTAAATACTATTCCCCATTAAAAGGAGCCAGGGGTCCTTGGAAAAATAGTTTAGGTTTGAGTCAGGAAATGTGCAATATGAGCTTGGGACATCTTGCTGTGCCAGAAAACTGAAAAGCACTATAGTAGTCAATTTGAAAGGACTCCTACTGGTCCTAAGTGGGATAATTTGACCACTAAAAAGAATAATGACTATATTTAATTGAAACACATCAAATGTAATAAAAATACACGATCTCACAATTATACTAAAAATAATCATTGGTCACCACTGGACATTTGTAAGGTACCAACTCATTACTCTCATAGTGGTAAATAATGGGGAAAATAATGCATTTATCCTGCCTTTCCTGTATAAACTGTATATAGGGAAACTAGTTGACGATGGTAAGTTTATTATAGAATTCTAAATAATAAACACAAAAAAATAGTGGAATTGGGGGGGGCTCCATTTCACAACTCTTAATAAATTAATAGATCTAGACAGCAGTCATCACTGGATGTAATGCCCATTAGGTGAAAGATGAACGAGAAAATTTCATAATGGAGAGATCCGACTAATACCACCTGAACACACTGATCAATTTTAGCATCACTAAAAATGGGACCACCAAACATTATGTGCCTTTTGATGTAATAGGAAATATACAACCATCTGTGGAGGATTCTTGCCTAAAAATATGAAACCTGAATCTAATCAAACCTCTAGATCAGCACTGCCCAATGTAACTTGTATAATAATGTAAATGGTCTCTATCTTTTTTTGCCCAATATAGTATCCACTAGCCACAGGTGGCTGTTGAGCATTCGAAATGTGACTAGTTTAACTGAGGAACTGACATTTAAAAGATTAATTTGACTAGGTTTGTGTGGCCAGTGGATACTGTATTAGGTAGAGTAGCTCTATATTTAGCTGCCAGTTTGTAAGAAATGGAGGGGATTAAGGAACAAATTAAACGATACCATGAAAAACAATCAAATTCATTTGTTCTGTGAACAAATATGGTTCTTCTAATAAATCAATGGGATGGGGTAAAAAATGGGTTGGAGGGGTGGGAAGGAAGGGGTACTATTTTAAAATGAAAGAGACTTAAGAGATGTAACAGCCAAAGGCTGGTTTAAACAATCAAGTGTAAAAATATATCTTTGTGATAATCAGGACCATTTCAATATGAACTTGGTATTAGATTATATTAAGGAATTATTAATTTTGTGAAGTGTGATAATGCCATACTGGTTACATTTGTAAATGTTCTTATCAGTTAAGTGTGTGTACTTGCATGACCCTGAGAGTGAGCACCTCCTTAAGTTTTGTACCCCAGGGGCCTCACTTGCTTCACCATAGTTTCAGCCTTGCTTGAGATGCACTGTAATAAAATAGCTATATACTATTGTCATTTATTGCAGGTTGTAAACACCTGCCCCAGCAGAGTTTCTAAATCTGAGATCGAAGATTTAATTTTAATTAATTTGTCAAAGGTTGTATTGATAGGCTTTGTAGAACTTCCCTATCTCTTTGTCTTAATCCAGATGAACCCCAAAAGAAGAACAAAGGTGATCCTATGAACAACCTGGAAAATTTTTACCAAGAGATGATAATGAAAAAACGTCTTGAAGAGTTCCAACTTATGAGAGGTGAACCCTTTGCTTCCCACTCACTGGTCTCAGCTACATCAGTGGGAGATAGTGACACAGCTGAGAACCCGCCATTACTCCAGGACAAGGGAGAACAGGCAGCACAGGGTAAAGGTCCCAGTCTTCATGTGGCAAAAGTTATTGATAATTCACCTGAGCAGTGTTGGACTGGGCCTAAGAAGCTGACGCAGCCAATAGAATTTGTCCCAGAAGATGAGATCCAGAGAAATCGTTTGTCAGAGGAAGAGATCCGAAAAATTCCTATGTTTTCTTCATATAATCCAGGGGAGCCAAACAAGGTATAGGCTAAACCAAGACAAAAACATGGGTTGTTTTCATTTTAATTTACCTCTACCTAAAGTAATACTTTTAAATTCACTTTAATTATACTAGAGAATTATGACATAGGTATAGTGATCGTGTTTTTCCTTGTCCTTCACTATTTTTTCTCTGCATACTATATAAGTAGCATATTTCTTGTGATGTTCCTTGTACATTTCTAAGGTCCTAAAGTACCCATAAAATTTTAAAGAAATCTTGAAAAGACTCTATTCCAAACCTACTAAAAGACCTGAATTGAAGGGAAAGTAACCTCCAATTTTGTAGGCTAGTAATAAATCAGGTAGTATTCATAGGACCTCCATATCTGATAGCCATGGTGCCTTTGGAACTAGTCTTTGGAACATATGACTTAGATGCTGGTAGTTAAGAGCAAAGTGAAAGCACAGGCCCTCTAAGTCTTGAGAAATTGGCAAATATCTAAGTAAACTTGTAAATAATCTTTTTATATTCTTACTACATAGCTATATATTCATAAACAACATAGAATTTTACATATTTCTAAACTATAGATAAAAATCATGCTCTACATACCCTTCTATAACTTGCTTTTTAAACTCAATATACATAATGTTTTGAAATTTATTTCTAATGCTATATGGAACTATGTATTCCATTGTAGAAATATAGAATAATTCATTTGTCCATTTTCCTGAAGATATTTTCTTTTCAATTCTGCAACAAACATTATTGTACAATTAATAGGTCACAATCGGCAATTTTTTAAGGAAATGAAACAGAATAGAATAGAAAATATCAATATTATAGAGTAAGAGTAGTTACTGTTTATTGAAGGTTTTGTTTTACGTATGTATGTACACACACATGAGAGAAGGGGGGGATAGACATGTGTGGAACAAGAATGCATGTCTTCCTATAGATCTTAGTCCAAAACATTGGAAAAAATATTGCTTTGTTGCAGTGATTATCAAATGTTAGTGTGTACCAAAATCACCTGGCAGGCTTGTTAAAATGAAGATTGCTGGGCTCTGTCCCCAGAATTTTTTATTCAGTAGATCTGAAGTAGGATCTGAGAATTTGCATGTCCAACAAGTTCCCACGAGATGCTATTGCTGCTGAGAGACATTTTAAGAATCAGTATCATAGATTATATATCTAGGAGTAGAATTACTGTGCTATATAGGATATGTATATCTTCAACTCCGTGAGCAGGATTTCAGAGATCTCTTCCACATTCTTGCCAAGACTTTGTAGTATTAGACTTTATTTTTGCCAGTCTAATATAGTATTTGAAAGGTATCTCATTGTTTTAATTTGCATGTTCGTGATTTCCAGTGAAATTATGTATGTATTCATGCATTTGTTAGCCTTTCAGGAACATTCTGTGAGTTGCCTGTTCCTTTTTATCCATTATTTGGTTGTTTAGTTTTTCATATTATTTATAGAGATTATTTTAAAATTCTGAATACAAACTATTTTTTTTTGTTGTTTAGAAAATATATTATTTCAGTGAGTGGCTTATCATTTTAACATTGCTTCTGATGTCTTATGTTAAGAAGAAGTCTTTCATTTTAATGTAATCATATCATCGGTATTTTACTTGATGGTTTCATTTTTGGAGTCACTTTAAGGAAATCCCTCCCTATAGATCAATAAGAAAAAATATAGACAACCCAATAAAAATGGTCAGAAGATATGAATAGGAAATTCACAGAGGAGAGAAGAGGAATGGCCAATTAACTTACAAAGTCTCATTAGTAATCAAAGAAATGCAAAATGAAACTATAATGAGATAACATTTAACACTCAGGATGTTGGCATAAAGACAGGACAGTGCTGGTGAACATATGGAGCACTAAAAACGCTTAATATGCTTCTGGCTGAATATAAATGAGTACAACCACTTTCAAGAACATTGGGGCAGTATCTAGTAAAATGGGAGATGCTCATACAGTATAAATCAGCAGTCCCACTCCTAGGTGTCTGTCCTAGAAGAATTCTTACATATACACATTAGGAGATGTTATAAGGATGCTCGTTATAACATTATCTGTAGACAGCATACATTTTCATCAGCAGGAGAATGGATAAAGCATGGTATAGTCATAAAATAGCATACTGTACAGTAGAGAAAATGAATAAAATATAACTACAGGTATCAATGTGAATGCAGTTCACAAACATAATGTGAATGAAAAAAGCCAGTTTCAGACTTCTTGTTTCAGTTTTAACATACAAAGTGTTTGGAAGTTGTCATTCCTGACTTACAAGAAAAACAGTGGAACAAACGAAAAATCAATGACTTTTTCTTGGGCCCATCAGAGCATTGAATTCACAGGGCAAGCTGCAACCCTGAAATTTGGAGATACAGGCAATTAAAGAGAACCACAGCCCAGATCTACTTATTAGGAGCGGAAAGCCACAGGAGCCATAAACTGGTAGGAATACTTAAGTGGTAACTTTGACAAATTGCTTAAGTCAGAGTGTAGATTAGTGTTTGAACATAACAGTTTCTCAATTTGAAGAGCCAAGAAAAAAGTCTGTTCCTGGCTAGTAATAAATCAGATAGTATTCATAAAAGCACCATATATGGTAGCCATGGTGCCTCTGAAATTAGTCAATAAATACCTCCAGGAACCCCACTAGGTTCTCAAGTTGAAGAGCCAAGAAAAAATCTGTTCCTGGCATGGGGAGCAGAAAAGTAATCATTTTGAAATACACCCAGAGCTTCTACAGAACAAAGGACTATCCAACATGTGAAACAATTTTACTAAAGCCTTCTCCACTATGGGAGAAGGGAAATCATCTTACTTTAGGCCCCTCTGGTCTTCCTGTCCCATCTGAGAGAGAGAAAAAAAGAAAACTGTGAAACACTTCTGAAAATTACAGTCTAGGGACCCAGGCACACTGAAAGACTGAGGCTTAATTATAGAATTTCAGAATGTTTCCCTTACCCTACACCTTACCACCACATCAACAGGGCTTTAGGATAATAACTATGGTACAGCTGAAAAACCTGCAAGGCTCAGACTATAAAAAGTTTTCAGGGAAACCCAGAGAAAACATGGGAAACAAAAACAAGGACATTACAAGAAATTGAAACCTGTGACACCTACAGCTAGAGTAAACATTAAACACAGCCCAACGCCTGGCAAGATTAACAAAAAAAAAATCACGCTAACAGCCTGTTTACCTCAGATCCTATTATGTTGTACATCAAGTTTGACTTTCAACATAGAAGAAATTGTAAGGCATGGTAAAAGAAAAAACAGTTTCAAGAGACAAAACAAGCATCAGAACCAAAGTCAGATATGGCTCAAGTTTTGGAATGATTACGTATATAGAATGTAACATAATTAAATGCTAAAGAATCTATTAGAAATAGTACACAATATGCAAAAACAGGTCAAGTAAACAGAAATAGAAACTCAAAGAAATAATTAAAAGGAGATGGTAGAAATAAAAAGCACTATAATAGGAATAACACTTTGATAGGCTCATTAGTATACTTGGTATGGCCAAGGAAAGAATCAGTAAGCTTGAAGACATGTCAGTACAAACAACCCAGACTAAAATGCAAAGAAAAAAAGACTTAAAAAATGGAACTAATGTCCAAGAACGATGGGACAATTTTAAAAGGTGTAACATACACATTATTGGAATACCAGAAGGATAAGAGAAAAAGGAACAGAAGAAATTTTTGAAGTAATGATGGCTGAGAATTTTTCAAAATTACCAGACCACTGATACAGGATTTGAGCAGAGAACACCAAGCAGGATAACTACCAAAACAAAAAAACAGCTAAGCATATCATGTGCAAATACAGAAGACAGAGAAAATCTTGAAAACAGCCAGAAGAAAACCACTTTGTCTATAGAGAAACAAAGATAACAATCGCATTGGATTTCTCATCAGAAACCATGCAAACAAGAAGACAGTGGTGTCAAATATTTAATATTTAAAGTATTGGGTGGGGGGAACCCCACCTACCTAGAGTTCTGTATCTAGAAAAAATATCCTTCAAAAGTGAAGGAAAAATAAAGATTTTATCAGACAAACAAAAATAGGGAATTTGTTGCCAGTAAACCTGCCTTGCAAGAAAAAAAAAATTAAGTTCTTCAGAGAGAAGGAAAATAATATAGGTTAGAAAATCAGATCCCTATAAAGAAAGGAAAAGCATAAAAATGGAATATCTGAAGGTAAAATTTTTTATTTTTTATTTTAAGTGATCTAAAAGATAACTGTTCAAAATAATAATAGCATTGTGTTAGGTAATTATAGCATATAGATAAGTGAAATGAATGGCAGGAATGTTATAAGGTATAGGAGGGAAAAATTAGTATTTAGTATACTATTATAAGATATCTGCACTACCTGTGAACTGGTTAGTGTTAATTGAGAGTGGACTTAGATTAGTTATAAATGTATATTGCAAACTCTAGGGCAACCACTAAGAATTGTAAATAGAAGTCTAATTAATATGCTACTAGAGGGGTAAAAATGGAATCATATAAAATGATACTCATTCTCTACAATCTTTCCCAGAAAATAGAAGCAAAGGGAACATTTTCTGACTTGTTTTATGAGGGCCGGCATTAGCTTAATACCAAAACCAGATGAAGATATTACAATTTAAAAAAAATAATAATTACAGACCAGTCTCTCTCATGAGCATAGATGTAAAATCATAAATATTAGGAAAGTCAGAATAGTTGATTGAGATACTTTTTTTTTTTAAATATATTTTATTGATTTTTTACAGTGAGGAAGGGAGAGAGATAGAGAGTTAGAAACATCGATGAGAGAGAAACATCGATCAGCTGCCTCCTGCACATCTCCTACTGGGGATGTGCCCACAACCCAGGTACATGCCCTTGACCGGAATCGAACCTGGGACCTTTCAGTCCGCAGGCCGACGCTCTATCCACTGAGCCAAACCGGTTTCGGCGATTGAGATACTTTTATTTAAAAATCAAAATATTAGGAAATGAAATCCAACAAAATATTAAAAGAATTCTATATTATGAACAAGTGGGATTTATTCCAGGTATCCAAGGCAGGTTCAACAGTTTGAAACTCAGTTAATATAATATACCACATCAACAGACAAAAGAAAAATAATTATGTCATTATTTCAATTGCTGTAGAAAAAGTACTTGACAAAATTCAACACCCATTAATGAAAAAATCTCTCAGCAAACTAAGAATAGAGAGGAACATCCTCAACTTGGAAAAGAATATCTACAAACCCTACAGCTAACATCATACTTAATGATGAGAAACTGGATGTGTTCCCCTTTGATCAGAAACATGGAATAGATAGATACCTCCTCTTCCCACTTTTTAAAATATTGTACTGTAAATGCTAGCTAGTGAAATAAAATAAGAAAAGGAAATAAAAAGCACACATATTGGAAAGGAAAATGTAAAACTGTCTTTGTTCATAGATTACATGTATGTCTATATTGAAAATCCCAAACAGTAAACCTAAAACAATTTCTGGAACTAATAAGTACAGTGTACTTGGAGGATACAAGGTTTATATATAAAAGTCTATTGTTTTCCTGTAAACCAAGAAATGAACCATTGATAGCGAAATACAAACAACACTATTTACAATAGGACCAAATATAGTTAAATAATTAGGTATAGATCTAACAAAATTTATACAGGATCTATATGCAGAAAATTACAAAACCCTACTGAAAACTTAAAGCTCTAAATAAGCCCAGCCAGTGTTGCCCAATGGATTGAGCGTCATCCCATGGACCAAGAGGTCATCTGTTTGTTTCCCAATCAGGGCACATGCCCTGGTCACTGGCTTGATCCCCAGGAGGGGGTGTGCAGAAGTCAGCCTATTGATATTTCGCTCTCACTGATGTTTCTATCTCCTTCTCTCTTCCTTTCTATCTAAGAACCAATAAAAAGATAGTTTTTTAAAAAGATCTAAATAAATGCAGAGATGTCCTGTGTTTATGGATTGGACAACCTAATATTGTTAAGATGTCAATTTTCCCAAATTGATATGTAGCTTTTGCAGTCTCACCAAAATCCCAGCAGGCTATTTTGTGGATATAGACATATTGATTCTAAGTTTCTTGGAAATGAAAAGGTCCAGAATATCTAATACAATACTGAAGAACAACAAAGTTGAAGGGCTGACAGTACTCAACTTTAAGGCTTACTATAATCAAGTAATCCAGTGCAGGTGAAAAAAGATGCATAGATCAATTGGGCAGAATAAAGACTACAGACATAGACTCACACTAATATAGTGAACTGATCTTTGACAAGGGAACAGGGGCAATTAAATGGAGAAAGGATAGTCTTTTCATCAAATTGTGCTGCAACAACTGGATATCAGCATTTTAAAAAATGAATCTAGACACAGATTTTGCAATCTTCAAAAAAAATAACTGTAAAATAGATTGTAGATACAAATGTAAAACAATAACATAAAACTTCTAGAAGAAAACGAGAAAAATCTAAGTGACCTTGTGTTTGGTGATGTATTTATAGATACAACCAAAAACATGATTTATGAGAGAAAAAAGTTTGATAAATCAGACTTCATTAAAATTATAAACTTCTATGTGAAAGATACTTTTAAGAGAAAAAAAATATGCCACAGACTGGAAGAAAAATATCTTCAAAACACATGTCTAATAAAGGACGTGTATCCAAAATATAAAAAGGACTTCTAAAACTCAACAGTAATAAGATGAACTACCCAATTAAAAATGGGCAAAAGAACAGACACCTCCCCAAAGAAGGTATTTACATGTCAAATAAGCATATACAAAGGAGCTCACCATCATTTGTCATCAGGAAACTGCAAAATAAAACAATAATGAGATGCCATTATACACCTATTAGAATGACTAACAATCACAATAAAATTGACAGTCCCAAATGCTATTGAGGATGCTGAGCAACAGGTACTCTTATTCATTGCTGGTGAGAATACAAAATGACACAATCTCTTTGGAAGTTAGACAGCCTCTGACAAAGCGAAACATTGTTTTACCATATGATCTAGTAATTGCACTTCTAGTTATTTACTGCAATTGATTTGAAAACCTATATTTATACAAAACCCAGCATGTGAATGTTCATAGCAGTTTTATTCATAATTACCAAAAACTTGCAATCAAGATGTTCTTCTGTTTCCATTCACCTGTGCTACATCTATACAATGGAATATAATTCAGCAATGCAAAGAAATGAGCTGTCAAACTACAATAAAGACATGGACTATAAATGCATTTTAATAAGTGAAAGAAGCCAATATGAAAAGACTGCTTATTGTATATTCCAGTTATGTGACACTTCAGTAAACACAAAACTATAGTGATGATAAATGATTGATGATTGCCAGGACTCTGGGGGACGTGGGGGACAGAGGAATAGATGAAGTACAGAGACAGAGGATTTTTAGGGCAGTAAAATTATTCTGTATGATAATGTAATAGTGGATACAAGACATGCATTTGTCAAAACCCATAATACTGTACAGCACGAAGAATGACCTTTGATGTATACAAATATTTTTAAAATCATTTAGGAGGTTAGAGAACCTCAGGAAAAAATGCAGATTGTGACAAGAGAATCTGTTACAAATACAGTGGGGCCTTGACTTACGAGTTTAATTCGTTCTGAGACCGAGCTCGTTAAGGAGCTCGTTAACTCAAATTACTCTATCAACTCAATGCAAAAAATCGGCCGAGAGACAGCTGGTATCTCAAAAAACTCGTTAGTCGGGACACTGGTAAGTCAAGGCCCCACTGTATATGAAGCTATGGGGGAAAGGGTGCTGACCTAAGTATCTTTGGAAATGTGTGGAATGTGGAAGCAACAGAGAGGTAAAAAGAACAGTACATAATCACTGTACTCTAGATGATAAGATTTTGTAACATGGGGGTACAGGTTAACAATTCTGATATTGTTATACCTGTATAATGAAATGGAGCAATTAAGTAAATGAATGGCAAATGGTGAAGCCAGATTTCTCACCCTTGGAATTTATAGATAAGCAATGGGAGAAAACTAAAATGATCCATGTGGTAATGGTTTATAGTTGGAGACATCATTATGAATTCATATTTAACTTAATATATGGATGATTACATACATAATGTGTACCACTTAATAATTCGGATTTTGTAATCAAACAAAACATGATAACTTCAAGAGAAACATCAAAAGTGCTTTATTCAAAGTAATGTCCATCGCTAGCTACACATTTCCCCCATCTTTCAGGTAATTTGTGGATACCGTCCCAATAGAACTTTTCTTGTTTTGAGGCAAACCATTCAGAGACCCAATTTTCCACTTCTTCGTCTGTTTTGAAGTGCTGCTCAGAAAGTGCGTGTGCCATCAATCGGAACAAGTGGTCATCTGAAGGAGCAAGGTCTGGTGAATACAGCGGGTGGGTTAATACTTCCCAGGCAAGAACTTTTAACGTGTCTTTAACTGGTTTTGAAGTGTGTGATGAAGCCAAAATTACTTTGCCGTGTCTTCTGGCCCATTCTGGTCGTTTTGCGATCAAAGCATGGTTCAAATTGATTATTTGTTGTTGGTAGCGATAGTATTAATGGTTTCACCTGGTTTTAGAAGCTCATAAGTCACCACCCCTTCCTCATCCCACCAAACGCAGAGCATTGTCTTTTTTCCAAAGCGATTTGGCCTTGCATTCGATGTTGATGGTTGACCTGGATCAACCCATGATTTTGTGAGTCTGGGATTCTCAAAATAAATCCACTTTTCATCGCCAGTCACAATTCAATGCAAAAAAGACTTTCTTTCATGCTGTTGAAGCAACATTATACTAATGACTTTTCAGTTTTCCATTTGTCTTTCGTTCAGTTGATGTGGCCCTCATTTTCCTTCTTTTAAAATCTTTCCCATTGCTTGTAAACGATTGGAAATTATTTGCTGAGCAACATTTAATCTTCCTGCAAGTTGTTTTTGAGTTTGACACAAATCTTCATCCAATAATGCTTGTAATTGTTGGTCTTAAAACTTTTTCGGTTGACCTGGACGTTTTTTGTCTTTCACATCGAAACCATCACTTTTAAAGCATTTAAACCAGCGTTCACAAGTATCTTGAGATGGAGCATGTTCACCATAAGCTTCCCGAAGTATACGATAACTTTCAGCAGCACTTTTCCTCAAAATAAAGTAATGAATTAAAACTTCCCGCAAATGCTCTTTTTTTGACACAAAATTCGACATTTTTAAGCGTAAAAATATCTATGATGTAAATACCTTCAGAAATTTGACATATGAAGTTTTGAAGCTTGCTGTCAATACAACAAAATAGCATAGTATCAAATCGCATATATATCAACATATGTATAACTCCATTTATTGAAAAAATCCGCATTATTAACTGGTACACCTGGTAGAATTATTTATAAATAACTGTATATACCCAGGTTAGCATTAAACGTAAATTTTTCTGTCAGCTGAGAGGATCTAAATGAAGCTATACTCCAGTAGTAACAAGCATGTTCAGCAACCAGATCTTTGTTTTTAAATACCATTCTCTAATAAAAGTAATCAGGACTCTTTAGAGAAATGGCTGATTCTAGTACTGAGGGTAGGAAATACACAAGATGAGCCTTGGGCATTTTGAATTGCCAGAAAATAAGGAAGTGCTAAAAACAACAAGATAAAAACATTGTTGGTGGGGGGGGGGGTATGGCAAAGGAGCACAGGAGCCAAGTGAAAGAGTTTCCAATGACCAAAGTTGGAACA